TCACTTAATGCTCTCCAGTTCCATCCCTGCTGTCGGAAGGATAGGAGTTCCCTCTTTGTTTCTGCTGCGTAGTATTCCACTATGTGACTGTACCACAGTTTCTTGATCTGCTCTTTTACTGATGGGCACTGAGGCTGTTTTCAGCACTTGGCTATTATAAATTACACTGCTATGAACATTGGGGTGCATAGGTTCTTTCCAATTGGTGTTTCAGGTTCTTAGGGCATAATTCCAGCAATGGAATTGCCAGGTCAAAAGGCAGTTCTATTTTTAGTTTTCTGAGGAAATTCTATACTCTTTTCCACAGTGGCTATATCAGTCTGCATTCCCACCAACAGTGCACTACGATTCCCTTTCCTCCACAACCCGCCAGCACTTGTCGATTTGTTTATGGTGGCCATTCTGACCAGTGTGAAGTGATATCTCATTATGGTTTTAATTTGCATCTCTGATGGCTAGTGATGCTGAGCATCCTTTCCTATGTCTCGGGGCCCTCTGCATGTCCTCCTTGCAGAAGTGTCTGTTCAGGTCTTTTGCCCATTTTTTAATTAGATTTTTTATCTTCCCGGTGCAGAGTCACGTGAGTTCTTTGTATATTTTGGAGATCCAGCCTTTGTCCGAGGTGTCATTGGCAAATATATTTCCCCACACAGCTGGTTCCCTTTTATTTGGATGCAGTCCCATGCATTCATTCTTTCCTTTATGTTCCTTGCCCTGTCTCAGATGTCTAGGTGAAGACATTTCTGTGTGCAATATCGGAGGTTTTCCCACCTGTGTTCTCCTCCAGGACTTTTATGGTGTTGTATCTTGTATTTAAGCCTTTTATCCACCTTGAACAGGGCAGCTTTTTAAACGTGGGGTTCTGCCTGCTTTGCACCAGCCTCTGCTCTCAGGTGGGGTGGGCAGCTATGGCGAGTTTCTGGGTCTTCTTGGACAGGACAGCAGGAACCTGGGAAGTGGCACCAAAGCTCCTGGCCTTGGAAAGAGACCCCCTCCCTCCTCCACCCCTCTCACCCCCCAGGAAGACCTGCTCCCCTTTTGTAGCCACTGAGCACCTGCTTTGGCCAAGGTAGGGTGAGAAACGCTGTCTCCCCGGCTAGTCCCAGCAGCCCCTCCTCTCGCCCAGAGATCTGCTGCCCACGCACCTCCTCCTCCTACTTCTCTCTGGGAACAGTCCCTGTGGCTTTTCTTTCATTTCTCAGAGCTCTGGGCACAAAGCAGGTGCTTAAGAATCCCTGCTGGGTGACTAAGAGAAAATGATGACAAATTTTGCCATCAGGAATTACTTGTGTTTGGGGTAACTGCCTGTGTTTGCTGAAATGGCAGTCACCTGCTGTTGCCAGGCTCCATTCTGGCATTCGGCGAGCTCCTGGGGTTGGTACTGGGAGCCTCCCCATTTTGCAGAAGAGGCATCAAGTACAGGAGGTTTAGGTCACTGGCTCAGGTTGGAAGGATTAAAGCTGGGATTTGAACCTCAGGGGCTGCCTCCAAATTTTACTGCAGGAGAGAGTGGTAAGGTGGCTGGAGGCCGTGCCTACAGCCCAGAGGGGCTGAGAGAGGCCCTACGCTGGATTCCAGCCCCTACTTTGCCCCTGGCTCCTGAGGAATCCTGGTCAGGACACGTGAAAAAATAAGGGGTCGCTGTGCCTACGGGGCCAGCGGGGCCCAGGCAGGTACCGTGAGCTAAAGAGGACCAAGACTGAGGGTTGCCGTGTGGGCATGAAGGCCTGGTGGGGTATTCCAGAATATTCTTGGGAAACCAGAAATCTTCCCGCCCCCCCACCCCAGGGCCAAGCTCCAGTCTTCATTTCCAATCTGTTACAAACTCTTACATTTTTACTTTTACAGTAAAAAAGATTTACTAGAGAAATGAAATTTTGTTTTAATTTTTGAAAAGATTTTATTTATTTATTTTTAGAAAGGGGAAGGGAGGGAGAAAGAGAGGAAGAGAAACATCAGTGTGTGGTTGCCTCTCACGTGTACTCCATTCAGGATCTGGCGTGCAGCCGAGGCCTGTGCCCTGACTGGGAATCGAACCAGCAATCTAGTTCGCAGTCCGAGCTCAATCCACGGAGCCACACCAGACAGGGCTGAAAAATATTTAACTCAAGACATAAAATACACATCTCCCCACACTTTTATTGTGAGATTTGACATAACATTCTCAGAAACCAGAAATCTCATGTCATGTACCACCTCCCAATGTGCGGATTTCAGTAGCTAACTGTTACTGAATGTAACTAACTGTTTGTAACACACGGCAAACCAAAACAGCACCTCTGCTGCCTGGCCGAGGCCCAGGAGTCACCGGCTCACAAATCCTGAGCTGAGCCGTCTGTCGAGTTCTTCTGCCTTCAGAATGCCGGGATCCGAGGCAGCCGTCTGCCCTGTAGAGCTGCAGTCTCCCCAGAAACCTGCCTGCCTGTGTCCCCACCAGAACACTTTACATAAAGGAGCCTAGTGCTGTCCAGCCAGAGGAGGTTTCCTGGAGACGGTGTCCTGCAGAAAGCTGGGCTGGACATGCAAGGAGCAGGAAGGGCAAGGGGGTGGGGTATGCTCCAGGCTCAGAGCAGAGCCCAGGCAAAGTGGGGAGCAGCCAGGCAGGCGGCCGTTGTGGGGGGCTGCACCTCTCCAGTGGGACCTGTAGGTGCACCCAAGCCAGGCTGTCCTGGGCTGTCAGTCAGTCCAGCTTCCCTGGTAAGAGAACAGAGTTCAGTGGCTCAGCTAAGGCCACAGACAGGGGTGGTGGGGCAGGACTGAAAGCAGCTCAGGCTGCGCCCTGCTCCAGGCTTCCCAGAGTGGAAAAGAGGTGATGCTGGGAGTGGGTGGACTGGTTCTTCCCCACCCCCGCCCTCCCACCACACCCCACTGCGCCCTACCACACCCCACCGCACCCCGCCCCAGGAGGGAGGAGGAAGGGAGTGGAATACTTGAGAATCGATTGCTGTGGTGTTAAGACTTTCCTGGGTCAGGCAAGGCCACAGGAGACTCCCTTGCATGTTCTGGAAGAACAGAAACAAGGCCTTAAAGACTGACAGTGTGAACTGAGTAGAACCAAGGGATCGGCGTCCCCACGGAGTTATGGGAGGGTACAGGGAGCCGAGAGCCCAGGACACCCACCGGCTCCCAATCCCACCTCCCAGCTTCAGGACCGCATGCCCTGTTCCCATCTGTAAAAGGAGGCAACTGGCCCAGTGGACCTTTCACTCTCAAGGACATTTCTCCCAAAATGGTGCCACCGGTGACTGTGCTCCCCTTGTCCGTCTGAATCGTCATGTGTTCATTTCCACACGAACTAGGGGGAAAAGCCATGTCACCAGACCTGGCATTTCACCATGATAAGAAGAGCCAGCCGACCCTTACTGAGTGCTTACTGTGTGCTTGGTGCACCCGAGGCAGCGGAAACTCGGTAGTACCTTTGCATCTCATTGTCCTTTATTTACAGGTGAGACGAGATGCAGGCGGGGGAAGGGAGGCACCGGGAGGTGAAACCACTTGCCCGAGGCTGCCCTACTAAGTGGCAGCAGAGCTGGGCTCAAGTGTAGGCAGCTGGCTCCAGAGCCTCCTTCTGGCCTCTCCGATACTTTTGCTTGCGCTGAGGGGAGAGCAGAGAGTAAGGGCTCAGGTGTAATGACAGGTCACTGGGGAGGTGGCACGCAGGTGGCAGAGAGCTTCCATGGGGTGGGGACTCAGTCAGGTGTTCTCCAAGGGCCCATCCGGCTATGCAGTTCTATAATTTTAGGAGAAAAATGCCAGATTGGGATTTTATGTCAAGCGACCGTATTTTTGTAATGGGCAGTACGTTTGCATGGTTCACGAGTCAAAACTACGTAAAAAGGCCCTGGCTGGTGTAGCTCAGTGGATTGAGCGTGGGCCTGGAAACCAAACAACCGTGCTTCGATTCCCGGTCAGGGCACATGCCTGGGTTGCAGGCCAGTTCCCAGCAGGGGACGCATGAGAGGCAGCCATACATTGGCATTTCTCTCCCTCTAGCCTTCCCTTCCCCTCCAAAGATAAATAAATAGAATCTTAAAATAAATGGTCTCCAAATCATTTGGCGGAGCTGCCACAACCCCCCAGCAGCTCCTGTGTGCTTCAAGGGACACCTTGAGCAAACACGAGCAAAGAGAACGTGTTCCTCCTCCTGGTCCCTGCGTCTACAAGGCAGCGCCCCATCTCTCTCCCTGGATTTTGTTCCCTTATCCACATGGCTCAGCCCTGTCAGCCAGGGAGCCTCCCACACCCCTCACCCCTCCGCCGGGTGTGTGGCATCCCAACTCACAGACACGCCTGCGCTCAGCCCGTCCTCCATCCGCAGGCACTTGGGTGGTCTCCTAGATTTTGCTATTACCAACAAGGCCACAGGCAAGAAGAACCTCCTACATGCATGATTCTGTCCAGGGCAGGTAACTTTGGGACAATCTCATAGTGAGCAATGGCACCTTGGAATCGTTGCGAAGTGACATTTCCCACGAGGAACGAGGGTGATAATCCTTTCATATGTTTAAGGCTTCTTTGTACTTTTTTCTCCAAACTGTTCATATCCTTTGCCCACCTCTCTATTGGGTCTTTTTGTTCTTAATTTCTAAGAACTCTTTGTGTGTTCGGAAGATGAGCCCTTTGTCTGTGGTTTACTTTGCAAATATTTCCCCACCCCCACCCCCGCCAGGTTATCATCTGTCTTTTTTTATCTTATTGTCAGCACTTTTTTTTTTTTGCAGAAAGTATTTTGATGATTTTTTTGTTTGTTTGCTGCTGTGTTTTGATATTTATGCATTTGAATGCATCTAACTTTTCATCCGGGGTCTCTGGCTTTACAAGTCATGGGTAGAAAGTGTTTCCTACTGAAAGGTTAGTTATAAGGAATTTGTGTTTTCTGCTAATAAAAAGCCAACTTGTTCACAAAGAAAGGAAGGACAACAGAAAACTTTGGGCCCCAAAGCCCAGTCTTTTGGGGGACAGTGAACCTGACATTGCTCACCTGGTGCTTTTCTCCGCAGGCCCTGCTGCTGGCTCATCTGGGGAGGTGGCAGCTTCCGGCCCAGGGCAGGAAGCAGCATGGCGCTCCTGACACACCTGCTGGTCTGCACCTTCGGGATGGGCTCCTGGGTGGCCATCAACGGGCTGTGGGTGGAGCTGCCCCTGTTGGTGAAAGAGCTGCCCGAGAGCTGGTACCTGCCCTCCTACCTGACGGTGATCATCCAGCTGGCCAACGTCAGCCCGCTCCTCATCACCCTGCTCCATCACTGCCAGCCCGGCTGCGTTCCCGAGGTGCCCATCATCTTCACCGTGCTGAGTGTGGGCACCATCACCTGCACCCTCTTTGCCTTCCTCTGGAATGTCACCTCCTGGGTCCAGGGCAGCTACCACAGCATCGCTTTCATGGTCCTTACCTTCTTCCTGGCCCTGGTGGACTGCACGTCCTCCGTCACCTTCCTGCCTTTCATGAGCCGGCTGTCCACTCGCTACCTCACCACCTTCTTTGTGGGCGAAGGGCTCAGCGGCCTGCTACCGGCCCTGGTGGCTCTCGCCCAGGGCTCGGGCCTCACCACCTGCATCAACGTCACTGAGACATCTTATACCACCTCAAGCCCCAGCACCACTGGGAAGACCGACACCCCACAGGTACCCAGCGCGGCCCAGGGCCAGCGCCACGCTCTGTGCCTGGTCACGGCAGGATCGTGTGGGGGGCTTGTGTTTCTGAAACGCTGGGTAGTCCTGTGCCCTTGACCTGGCTGTACTTTAGATCACCTGGGCGAGCTACGGAAACACACCAGCGGGCACGTCCCCCCCACCGCCAGACCAATTAAATACGCCTCTGAGTGTGGGGCGTTCCAAAACCCTCAATGGAAGTCAGGTGTGTTTTGAAATCTAAACTTTCAACTTTTATGTTTTTTTACTATTATTTTTTAATCCTCACCAGAGAATATGTTTTATTGATTTTAGAGAGAGAAGAAAGGAGAAAGACAAACATTGATGTGAGAGATAAATATCGATCAACTGCCTCTCACAGGGGCCCCGACCAGGAATTGAACGTACAACCTAGGTACTGTATTTTTCAGACTATAAGATGCAGGGTTTGGGGTTTTTTTTTTACCACATTTTTTGCTTCAAAAATTTTCTCCCTATTTTCCTCCCCTAAAATGGAGGTGTGTCTGGGGTCCGCACCATAAGATGCACCTAGATTTTAGAGGAGGAAAACAGGGAAAATTTTTTGAAACAAAAAATGTGGTAAAAAGAAGTGAGTCTTATAGTCTGGAAAATACAGTATGTGTCGTGACCAGGAATTGAACCTGCAAGCTTTTGGTGTACAGGGTGACATGCCAAACAACTGAGCCACCGGGCCAGGGCCGGAGTTACACAGCAATGCAGCACAGTGACACCGCCGCCCACAATGTCTCCGGGCGGAGACATTCCCGGCCAGTGGGCAGATGGGGGCTGTGAGTGGCCTCACATCCCTTCGAGTGTTGCTGCCAACTGAATCATAGGTTCTGAGCATCCTGGATTTCAGAATTCCAAAACACAGGTTGTGAGCTTGTGTCTATTCACAGTTCCCCCGGTGATGCTAATGTACAGCCAGAGCCGGAGCCACAGACTCGAGTTGTTGCTTCAACATGTACATCATGGTGTTAACACATCTGTCAATGTGAGAAACATCCAAACCAGTAGAGACATTGTTTTGTTTGTTTGTTTGTTTGTTTGTTTGTTTAAAGATTTTACTTATTTATTTTTAGAGAAAGGGGAAGGGAGGGAGAAAAAAGGGAGAGAAACATCGGTTGGCTGCTTCTCATATGCACCCTGACCTTGGACCTGGCCCACAACCCAGACATGTGCCCTGACCAGGGATCAAACTGGCGACCTTTGGCCTTGCAGGACGACACCCAGCCAACTGAGCCACACCAGTCAGGGCCTGGTAGAGACATTGTATAAAAGTTTATTTGACCTAAGACTCATAACAATTGTCAGAAAGCAGGATCTCACGTGCTCTGTAGAATAACAGATTTTGCAGTTCCTTATAAGCATTTGAAATTCAGGAGGGAATTTGAGGAAGATGACGTGAAGATGAGAGAAAGCGAGGTGGGCATTAGATCATAGGACAGTTAAGAACGTGTGCTCTCCCGATGGCGACTGTGCTCTCCCGGGGTGTTCTGGCAGTTCCAAGGTGCCCTCACCTAGATGCGCGGAAACTATGAACAGGGCTTGCTTAAGGCAAAGATAAGCCTTGTTTTTGTTTAACCCTCGCCCAAGGATGCGTTTCCTAATCTCAGAGAGAGAGGAAGGGAAAGAGAGAGAGGAACGCGTTCCAGGCTGGGGGATCAAACCCACAGGTAAGGTAAGTGTCCCGACTGGGAATTGAACATGCAACCTTTCAGTGCACAGGACAACATTCCAACCAGGGCAAAGACAGGTGTTTTACTAAGCAGGTTATACGCCTGGAGGGTCATGACCGCCGTGATCTGTCCAGTTAGGGCTGTGTGATCAGACCACCCTGTGAGGTTACTTTCCATAAAACCCCCTTTTTTGACCACAGCTCCCTCTTTTGCCCTAAATCAATCCGTAGGATGCATTGGTGACCAACTTTTTGGATAGTGTGGCCTCACAGCACTAGGAAGGCTCATTCCGAGAAGCCTCAGTATCTATGTCGTGTTATAGAAATGGTGGGTCACTGGTGATGGGACAACACCATAAACACAGGGTGTGAGTCAAGGCCCAATTTTCCCCCAAAAGGAAGAACAGGTCAGTGGAAGGTGGTCTGGTCTTACAGACCTGATGGCAAAAAAACCCACTCTGGGTCATTTCTACCCTGTGAACTCTCCTGCCCCAAGTGTTTGCCTTCCGTCTCACTTTTCTGTGTAGAAAGGGTGTTAAAAGTTATCCCATAGTTTCAGTAGTCATAAGCAGCTGGACTACATAGAAAAACCCAAAGAACAAGTGTAACTATTATTATGACTGTTATCATGAGCAGACAGGAAAAGGCTATCAAACTATTGGTTTCTGAGCTAAACATCAATTTGCAGGGATACAGGCCTTGTCCATGTTTTGGGACAGCTGTCTACCTCTGATGTCGGTGGCTTCTTGTCTCTGATGTCCACAGACAGAGATGGGTAGCCAATTCACAGTTAGGCGCCTAATAAGGTCCCTTCCAACAAGGCGGGAGAGTGTCTTTTAACTGATGTCCTTTCCAAAAAAACAAAATCTCCGGGTCACAGTCAACGATCTTAAAGTCTTGTCTCCTGGGAGGTCACTGTGAAAGGACTCAGTTACCTATTTGGCATTTCCTTGACGTGACTCTGACAAACCTTGGCAACCGTGTAAGATGTATCCTTTTAATGATGTCGGCTCGTAAGTTCCTGGATCTAATTTCAGTCCAGCTTAAATTCACTGTGACGCCTGAGGAATGCAAAAACTTAAAAAGTGGGGTTTGCCAGCGAGCCGCAAAGAACCAAGTAGCTCTCTTGGACTTCCCATAGTCCCACTGGTTTCATTTGCATGCATTGTTTTGCCAAACGGTAAAAGTTTTTTCAGCCTTTATTTTGCAATACTTTCCATGCAATTTAACATAAAAACAAAACTCTTGAGGTGTTTCGGTAACCCTTCTGGAATACCACAGAATTATTCCTACATATATTAAGATTTTAACCCTTAAAACCTCAATTTCCAATGAAAATCAAGAAGTAAGCAGTCAGCAGTCCTTAGCTTGGCAAATGTATGAAGACACTTTGTTACCTCTAGAAACATATTCCATAGACATCCAAGTCAGTTATTAACATGAACTTATTTTTGTATGCCCAGGTAAAATATAAATATTTTGTTTCATATTAATCACTCAGAAGATATGTGTTCTACTCAAACCGACAAACTTAAACTTGTATTAACTAAAGATTAATCCTAGATCATGTAAACGTGACAAACATTTGAATTAGTTTTCATATTTCTGAGAATTTCAGAATCCCCAATCCTTACAAGTGCTTGCCTTTAAATCGATTTTAATAATACGATCTGTATATGGAAAATTATCTCACATTTACAACATATCTATATAGACACATTCCTTTATAAAAGAATGGTTAAATCCAAATTTTGCTTTGGAGGCATTTACAGTTTGTATCTGCCCTTGAGAAGTCAAGTTCAAATGACCTTCCCCCTTTCTTAAATAAGGACGGCTGTTTTTAGCACCTCAGACAATTGGGTTGACGCCTAACCAACATCACAAGTGGATCCATTTATCTAAATCCTCTTTTCGAAGCTTCAAGAGACCATTTAAATATGTTTCCCGTTCATTCTGCCTGGTTTTATAGCCAGCTTTTTCCAATCATGCACACAGAAGTTTCATTTAAAAAGCACCAAAGGACCCTCATCTCAGCCACCTCAGCAGTGATGAGGTGCTGACCATCGTGGGACTTGCTGGCCTTGGACGCAGGACCTCCCACGTTTATTTCAGTTATTTTTTTTTAGACCTGTGGAGTCCAAACAAACTTTTAGGAAAACCCAGCCTTTCTGTGCACATCCCCAGACAAGCCAAAGGCAGTGGATAGCCCTGTGGGACATCCTCGTGCCCCGGGAGGGAATTTTTTCTTCCAACAACCCCACGAAGATTCTTGAGCAAGGGCCAGCAGAAGCTTACCAGACGCCACCAGAGCCGTGACACTATCCAAAGTACAGGCCCCTCTGTCTCCATGTGAACCCATTCCAAGGTGCCCTGCCCTCCTCCCTGGGGCTCCCGCCAGCTTCTCCGGAATCAGCTGCCCCGCCACCCCAGACAGCCCCTGGTCTGGTCTCCACCACTCTGGACACAGGGTCTGCGGCCCGATGGCTGTCCAGATTGGAGAAACAAGTGTCCTTCCTCACGGAGCCAGAGAGTGTTCAGTATCTCGTTCACCCAGCAAATATTTTGTTCAGACTCTTGGTAAGCAATCCAGTTAAGACAAAACTAAAAGCAGCAACCCACTTTTTTCTTTCGCTGGGTTACCTCGACCCTTCTCCACCTGAAGGTCTTTCTAAGAAGAGCACAGATAAAGCCATGGCCTGCTCCTTAAAGCAGGGAGACCCAGGGTTCCGATAGAAAACTCACTCCAGTTCCCCAGCTGAGGAACATAGCGAGTACAGTGTCTGGGCCCACAGCTGGTCCTGCGTGGGCTTCTTCAGGGCCCTGCCCCCTGCGCCAAGTAAATGTCAGTAGAAGAAACACACAAACCTGTAGAAATTTTTAGTAAGAGTTTCTTGGAGCCAAAACTGACAACAATAGCCAGGAACCAAGATCTCAAAGGCTTTGGAAAACAGTAGTTTTGCAGTTTCTTTTACGCATTTGAAATTAAGTGAGGGACACAAGGAAGAATCCATGAATGTGTGAAAAGCAAGACGGGAGTTGAATTACAAGACGCTTAAGATTCTGTGCTGTCTTGAAGGGTCTGAAAGGGGGGGGCATTTCAAAAGCTCATTAACCTCAGTCTACAGAAACAAGGGGCGGGGCTTACTTAGGCAAAAGTAAGCCTTTTCCTAAAGAAGTTATATACCCACCACAACCAGCCCAGTTAAGAATTTGCGATCAGTCCACCCTGGGAGGTAACTTTTCGCAGAACCCCTTTTTGGCCCACACGTCAAACTTTCTCTCACTGGGTACCAGACAGTTTACACAGGTCTGGTATTAACCACAGAGGTACCGCAGCCGCAGCTGCAAACCAGTGGCCCCGGCTGCAGTAGCCTGCAGGCGCTAAGTGCTTGACTTATTTGATGACATTTAAATGTTTTGCAACTTCACATATATAAATCTAGATGTAGTGTGTGTCTTGACAGGAGATCTGGCCACACCAGGCCACGTCACCACACCAGGCCACGTCACTACGCCGGGCGAGCTGGGGCAGGGCTGCTCTCCCCTGGAGCTCCCCAGGCGGGCCCGCCTCTGAACATAAACATGGTTGCCAGCCCTGGAGGGTGGGAAGAGGTAGAGCTGAGCTAAAAAGCACCAAGTGGGCCCCGGCTGGTGTGGCTCAGTGCATTGAGTGCCAGCCTGCGAACCAAACTGTCTCTGGTTTGATTCCCAGTCAGGGCATGTGCCTGGGTTGTGGGCCAGGTTCCCAGTAGGGGGCGCACGAGGGGCCACCACACATTGATGTTTCTCTCCTTCTCTTTCTTCTTCCACTACTCTCTGAAAACAAATAACTAAATAATCTTTTAAAAATTAAAGAACCAAGTGGACTGGGTTTGCCTCCTGCTCCGCACAATCCTCAAGTACAACAAACAGTTCTTACACCTCCGTTCCCTCTAAAAGCACGGGAACGTCCCCACTGTGCAGGGTCGTCAGGAGGTGCACGAGCGGATGGGTGCACAGCGCTGGTGCCCAGTGACAGGCAGTCAACGTGAGCATTTATTATCACTACCTCAGTGGGTGTGTGTGTATTATTCACACTAACTAATAATGCATCACACTAACTGAACGTTATTACTGTTGTTGCCCGTGTCCCAACATCGCTCGCGGATCCGATGACCCTTGTTCTGTCTTTCCCCAGGGAAATAACAGCGCCCTGCTGCCTGGCCTCCCTGGGACAGCGCCCTCTAGGGGCCGTCTGGAAAGCAGCTACCTGCCCGCCAACTTCCCGCCCTTGGTCTTCTTCCTGCTGCTCGCCCTCATGATGGCCTGCTGCCTCATTGCCTTCATTTTCCTCCAGCGCCACCCTGAGCCCTGGAAAAGCTCCACAAAAGACCTGCTCGCCTCCCAGGTCACCCTCCACTCCATCCGGCCCCTGGAAGAGGACCCGGGTTCCCCAGGCCCAGGGGAAGGCAGTAAGAGCCAAGAGCATCTGGAGGAGGAACCGGCCCCCCTGCACCCGGCCCGCCTGCTCTTCATCTACGTCCTGGTGGCCTTTGTGAACACCCTCACCAACGGTGTGCTGCCCTCCGTGCAGACCTACTCCTGCCTGCCCTACGGGCCCGTTGCCTACCACCTGTCCGCCACCCTCAGCTCCATAGCCAACCCTCTGGCCTGCTTCTTCTCCATGTTCCTGTCTAACAGGTCAGCCTCCAGCCGGCCCTGGGGAGCTCTGGTGGGGGTGCACTTCACTGCAAAAGCCAGAATCCCAAACTCCACCATCAGGCTGCATGTTTAATAGTTAAAAAGACAGTTTCCTGGGGCTGGACTACCTGGGTTAAAATCCCAGCTCTGCCACTTACTCCCTCTGCAATGTTGGATGTGTCAGTCCACCTCTCTGTGCCTCAGGGATACCTATCGGAAAACTGGGGATAGTCACTGTTCTACCCCATCAGGTGGGTGGGCGCATTAGAGGGGCGAATGTGGGAGAGTCTCCAGAGCGGTGCCCGGGGCAGGGCAGGTCCAAAGTGTCTGCCGTCACAGCCGCTGGCCCGTGAGGAGCAGCACCCAGGCAGGACCTGGGTTCCCGAAACTCTGAGGCTCAGAGAAAGGGCTGGCCCTGCTCTGATATCCAGGACTCCAGCCCTGCCCTCCTGCCCCCAGCCCAGGCTGGCTCCCTTACAGCCGTGATTCTAAACAATGGCTGGGCAAATGCAGACTGCGCCAGCCTAGACTGGGACCTGGGATTTCAAGTCTTAATAAGCAACTTGGCGTGGTTCTAACTCAAGGGTTTCAGACCCCCCCATGGGAGAAAACTCACCTTGGGGTCTTGAAACTTCGGTCCCATAGCACCCCATCTACCCCCCCGCCTCACGTGCCCCCTCTGGCCTCTCTAACCAGCACGTGCCTCCCCCGGCCCTGCTGCACCCACCTGCCACACCCACCTCCCCAGCCCTGCCCACCCACCTCCCCCATCCCCAGGAGGTGGAAGAAAGGGTTCTCAGAGTTAGACAGGAAATGTCAATTTGCCAGAAAGCTGTTTTTCTCCCCTGGGGCTTAAAAACTGGTTGGAGGCTGGAGATTCCCAGGGAAGCAGGACCAGAGACCCCAGACCTGTGGGACCTGTTAGAAAGACAGAGCCCGAGAGTCAAGGACTCCAAGAATCTTAGGGCAGAAAGAGTCCTTAGAGGCAGGGGCGGACCTTCTGCTCTTGCCCAGCATGCAGGCCAGCCTTGGTATTCTGAAGATAGGGTAGAGGGACCCCAGGGGCAGAACTTCAAATGAAGGACTGTCCTCAGTCGTCAGACCTGGATTCTACGTAGCAGGCCACCAGACGAGCACCTCCAAGCTGGCCACCAGGGCCCCCAGACCATGCAGACCTCATGCTGTGCACAGGGACGGCTGAGGCGAGAAGGAAGCCTCCCCACTGGAGGCCGCCCCCCCCCCCCGAGGCCGCACACCACACACAGCAGAGCCAGTGCTGGGATCGGAGCCACCTTCTCTCCAGCCCCGCTGCCCGTCCGAGTCTGGGCATGTTGCAGGAGGAAGTGGCAGCAGGCCAGACCCTGCACACTCTGCCCCCACAGTCCTGCCAGCCTCATTTCACAGGTGAGGAAACTGAGGCACAGGGAACAGTCCCGAAGCCTCCGTGGTGGAACGGGGACTTGAGCCGGGTCTGTGCAGCTCCAGAGTCACTCTGGTTGTGCTGCTGGAGTGCCGGGCCCTGCGTCACTGCTCGGGAGCCTCACTGACCCACTTGTGCCCGACGGCCTGGAAGTTTCCACGTGGTTCTAACCTCTGAGCCTGGAGATGCTGCCCACCCTGGTTCCCAGAGTGGGGAAGGCAGGGGTCAGCTTCTCCCCAATCCATCCATCTCCCCCACTCTGTCCTAGATCTCTGCTGTTCCTGGGGATCCTCACAGGGTTGGGGACCGGCTTTGGTGCCTACAACATGGCCATGGCGGTGATGAGCCCCTGCCCCCTCATGCAGGGGCACTGGAGTGGAGAAGTCCTCATCGTAAGTATCTGCTCCCACAGGTGCTCCCCTACCCCGCCGAGGTCTGGGGAGACCTGGGGTAGAGCCCTTTCTGTGGACCAAGTCTGGGTGGTGGCTGCCTCAGGAAGGCCCAGGTGGCGGCGGGGGGGGGGGGGGTAAGGGCGGGGTCGCTTGTCATCTGGGAGTGGAGGCTCAGAAAGGTGAGGTGGCTGGTCTGAGGTGACGGTACAGCCTGTACGTGGAAAGCCACACTCTTCCCACTGTGTCTACGGCGGCAGTGGCCTTCTTCCCAAGGCCCTTAACTTGATCATGGGAGACAGAAACACCACTGGGCTCTCCTTCGCCCTTGGGGAGGGGTCAACTCATGGGGTTCCCTTAGCCCCGTGAGGTCGCCCCACACCCTTAGTTCCTAGGAGTCACCCCAAAGCGCCCTGCATTCTGCATCTCTCCCACCCTATCCCCGCAGGTGGCCTCGTGGGTGCTTTTCACTGGCTGTCTGAGCTATGTCAAGGTGATGCTGGGCGTGATCCTGCGCGACCATAGCCGCAGCGCCCTCTTGTGGTGCGGGGCAGCGATGCAGCTGGGTTCACTGCTTGGAGCTGTGCTCATGTTCCCACTGGTCAACGTGTGGCAGGTCTTCAAATCCGCAGATTCCTGCAGCCTTCAGTGTTCCACATAAGCAGACTGAAAACTGGGACCCAGAGAGACAGGACAATGGTCCAAGATCACCGGGCAAGTGTTGGGGGTCTCAGAGGCACAAGCCTGAGGACTTGAACCATCAACAGAAACTCCCCTCCCTAAAGTGAGCAATGCCACCCGTGGGTCCTGGAAATCCAAAGCACAGCCCTACCCCAACCCTGAGTCCTAGTGCTTGCAATTCCACTCTTTCAAAACTTCCAACACGTTTGAGAGTGAGCTGACCACAGAGCATCCAGCTGGAGGCAGGCTAAGGTGCCGGAAGGGAAACAGCTGAGAGAGCAGGCGGGCTCTTAGAAGCTGTGTGACCTTGGCGAAGTGGCTTGATGTCTCTGTGCTTATGTTTCCTCATCCATAAAACGAGGGTTATAACAAATAGCACCTACCTCATAGACTTGACACAGGGACACAAGGGAGATACACCCAGCATGTGGCAAGACCGCCTGGGCCACTTCCCCCAGAGTAACAACAAGAGTGACAGTCAGCACAGACTAAAGTGGCCAGCGGGCTTGAGAGGTGACCCCTGCCGCATACCCTTTTCTCCACTCTCGTCACAGAGGCGCTTCTAGAAGACAGAGGCTGAGGGGGTGCATTTGGGGCATGGAGGCTCCCTGATCCTCAGTTTGGTGGGACATCATGTCCCATACTCCCCTTCCCTCCACCCCTCCTGAGCTCCTGGGAGGCAGAGAGAGATGATGGAGGAAGGGCTCCACGGAGCCCCTGAAAATGACTCGGCCCCTGCAAAACTCACTAAGGCTGGAAACGACACAGGCAACCCTGGGCAGCAGGAGGACCAGAAGGGGGAGGAGTATATTAATTACTGGTAGTTTTGTTTTACCTAATTTTTTTTGTTTTACTTTATGTCGTTTTTTAAAAAATAAAGACATTGATTAACCTTCCAAGAAAAAAATCAACCATGAACCCAAAAAACATATCACCATAATTAGTTTTCAGTTGGTTCCAAGGTCAAGACTGAGCTCAGAAATGAAACAGAATCAAGTGCTTAGAGACTGTCTGGACCTGAGATTTCTTTTCTTCAGTGGTTTTTTTTCTCCACTGGCTACCACCCCTTCTTTTTCATTGATTTTGAGTAGATAATACAGTCACCATGTTTTAAAAATCAGAAAATATAAAATGGTGTTCCGCAAAAAAAATTCCCTCCCTCTTCTCTCCCCCTTCTACCCAGTTCCTCTTAACACACGTGAGCATTTTTTATGAGTCCCTTGTTATTCTTCCAGAGATTGAGCCAGTGTAAGAAAGTACAAATATAGTCTTTTTACAGAAAAGACCTAAACGATGGTGGACCTTGCACTTTGACTCAACAATGAAAATGAAGGGAGAGCTCTTGTTCTTCGTCATGACTGCATAGTATTCCGCTGTGCGGAGGTGCCACGTTCCTATAACCAGCCCTCTGCAGAAAGACGTTTGATGGTGCTGAAGACAAAATTAAAAACAAAATCTCCCACTAACCCAGAAAGCCTCTCCCCAAAAGTAGACGAGAAAGAAAACAGCTGTATTACTGAGTAAGCATTAAACCAGGGTGTGGGGCACATGGCAGGCAGTCCAGTAATGAGATGCGGAGCCCTGCCCTTTTATGCACAAGCAGACGCAGCCAATTACATCTGTGCTCTCAAAGGTTAGCTAGTCAGTCCTCGGGTGGGAGGACCAGACGTACCGCCTGTCACAAGGTTCATCCCGCCCTCACCAGGTCACTGGGGTGGCTGTCTGTGTTAGCCAACTGCCCATACCCGCAGGGGAAGGAAACTTCTATCTTTGTGAGAGGTGGCTGCTGTGCAGCTTGGAGCGTAGCCCTGGCAGTAGGCGCCTACCCTCCCCCGAGACTGGGCCTAGGGGTCCCGGTTTTGTTGATATTCACATTACAAAGAGACCGCTGGAGGGTCCTTGAGAAAAACACTCCTGGGTGATAAAGCTGGCCAGAGGCCCATTCAGCTTTTTAAAAGACAAACATCTGAAAGGAGCAGAGGAGTCTACAAGTTCTCTAAAGTAAATGCTGTAAGGAGAGGAGATGTCTCCCTTCCTGACACAAGGAGAAATTCTTTTTATTTGTATTTGCCTCTGAAAGGTCATATGGGTGGCTTCTGGCCATTCCCTCTCAGAAAGAATGTTGAAGTCAATAACAGGCAAGAAGATCTTTGCTGACGCAGGAAGATGCTCCAAGATTAATTACACACACGGACAGGAGACGCAGAAGAGTGTGCACAGCACAGAGCTGGTCACCCTCGCGTGTTCCGCCAAGGACACGGGGAGAGGCGACCGACTTGGTGTTTGGAAACGGCACCTTCATCCATGCCCCTCTCTGTGGCTTTACTTTCACTCGCCATCCTTGGGGGTCTTGATGCCATTGGCAACCTTTAAGTTAGTACCGTGAATCAGGCTCCGCAGCCTCCTCTGTACAATGGGGATAATAGAAGCACCCCACACACACACACACTTTGTAAGGCCTGTTCTTCTTTGAGTTAACACCTTTCAATGCTCCAGATATATGGCGGGAGCCTCTGTGTGTGTCCCAGGCCCTGTAAGTGGTGCCAGCGGTAGTCCAGACAGGGAATGATTCAGCCAGAGGCCCCCCAAGAAATGGGCCACAAAGTCAGGACACAGACCCCACCTCTGAGTCCAGGGTTCTTTCTAATGAGCTGTTGGCACAAACACCGAGGTTCCGCACTCCACAGTGATTCTGGGGGAAGGTGGCCCCAGTAACTTGGATACATAAAATCAGGCCAGGACTTTAAGGTGAGACCCACAAAGGCCTCTGAAAGAGAATTGGTAGGGTCACACCCTCATGCTTCCCTGAGGTTGGCCAGCACTGGAATGCCCAAGGGAGCATCTACCCTGTCCATCGTCACGAATGTCCACCACGGCGACCATGACCTTTATAGCTCTAAAGAGCCTTCCCACTGCCACCCTTCCTGGTTGACCAGATGCCTTGAGCCATCTGCAGAGGGTCACCCCATGCCTTGGATTCTTCCTGAGATTTGACAGATTTAATTCTCACAGAAGCCCTGTAAAAACTTCCTGTTGTTACCAGTTCTATTTTTCGAAAGAACAAACTGAGGCACAGAGAGGTTAAGCATCTTGGCTGAGATCACACAGCCAGTGAGCGGCAGAACCAGGTCACCTAGGCTCTATGTCACATGCTATTTCTGTGTCAGAGACGTGAGTCTCAAAGCATGTGAAACCATGGAGAAAACCTCAGCTTCAGACGGAGATGAAGTACCCCTTGGCTCATTGTCTTCTGGTTTCAAATAGAAATAGACAACTTCAATCCAGTTCCATGGTCTCTACTCCATCACACACACACACACACACACACACACACTTAAATTTCACTGGAAGTGAAAAGAAGAAAGGAGAGATGAGTGCTTTCATAGGCGGGATGAGATTCCATACACAGTCGACGGTATCCCTTTAAGAGTGACTAGCAGAGGGGCTGAAACTCGCCAGAGAAGGTTCCTTGCGAGCCTTATCTTGCAGGTCTTGTTTTGCAACAGGATGGCCTTTTCTGAGTCTCAGTGCTATTTATAGAGGTCAAATCTGGGGGAAATGCCATGGCAAGTACTGGCATTGCCAGGACTCTGCCTCCTGTTTGGAAATTGCTGGTTAAGCAGCTGGCTTCTGGGTGTGCCCTCAGAAAGTTGCTCTATTGCGACCTGTAATTTGGCCTAGGCGGAGGCCGGCTCACAGGGCTCAGTGGTTAGATTGTAAGATAAGATAGAGCACCCTCTCTCTGGAGGAGGAAAGATATTATTGAGAAAATGAAGATAAGCAGCAAATGGCCTGCTAGTCGCTACAATGTCCATTTTCCTGTTTCTTTCATAGTCACAGAACCACTGACTTTTAGCTGGGCATGTACACGGTTACCCAGAGAAAAGCACACATTTCCCAGGCTTCCTTGAGGCTAAAGCATGGCCACGTGATTACATTCAGACAAATGTTACCAAGGATAATGTGTACAATTTTGGGTTTGAGTACTCAAAAGGCAAAGGCAGGACTCCACTTTCCATTCACCCCTTCCTGCTGGTGGGAAGGCAGACGTGATGGCTGGATCACTGTCTTAGACCATGAGGAGGAAGCCAGAGGCTGAGAATAATGCAGGAAAAATACAGAAGGAGCTTGAAATGGTTATGATTGTGGAGCTACCATTCCTACTGGGACTCAGATTTAATGTGACAGAGAAGCCTCTGGGTTAAGTTTCTATAGTGTGGGGGACTTTTTAACATAACAGCAAAATTCTCATATTGGTAAATGTACATTTCTCTCTATACACACACACACACACACATATATATATATGCACACACAACTCACACACATATTCACAATCACACAGAAGGAGACCTGGGAAGATATATATCAAAATGTTAGCCTAGTTCATCTGGAGGAAGAGATTTCTGTGGGTTTTTTTCCCTTCTTGACATTTGGCTGTACTCTGACTTTTTTCTTTGAGTGTATGTTATTTCAAAACTCAATAAAAGAAAGTCTAAAGAAAGCAAGGTTCCTATAAATAGATCCTATTGTTTAAATCACCTTCATTTGCTTCATACGAGCCTCCGAAGATCACACATACACACTTAGATCTCATGGGATATCTGGCTTTGTTTCCTGTGGGTTATAGAACTTTTTTGAGGTGTTCTTTTTACTGAACAAAATGTCTTGAGGATGGCTCCATGCCCCTGTGTATAGGCCGACCTTGTTTCTTGTAACCAACACAAAGCACCTTCTAAATGGGCTTTACTGAATGGTGCCTGTTGATGGAAATCTATGCTGTTTCCGATCTTAAGTACCAAAAAAAAATGTGATAATGAAAGTCCTCAGACCAGCCTGTCTGCACTTGTCCAAGGCTTTGAAGTCTAACAACCGTGGGTTTTAATCCATGTGACCTCAACTTAACTGTGCATCTCCAACTCTCTGTCTCCTCACCTGGAAAACAGGAGAAATAATGAAACTTGCCCCGTGAAATTATTATAAGGATAAGAACAAATGAAATTCATCGTGTGCTTGCTGCATGCCAGGCACTTTTCTAAGTGTTTCCCATGAGTTAACTACATTAATGCTCCCAACATCTGGGATGCTCCTTCAGGATGGCAGATGTCCTGAAGGTTTTCTAGAAGCTTCCGGCTATCAGACTGTCCGCGTGAAATCCCTCTGGCTAAATCTTCACCTGGAGCCCTTCCACAGACTTCTTAGAAGTAGTGGCTGGAGAAGATACTTCTTTGATTTCAGTCTTTTAAAATCTATTGAGATTCATTCTGTGGCCTAACACACAGTGTGCGCCATAGAGAATTTTCCGTGTGCATTGAGAAGAATGGGGATTCTGCTGGGGCGGGGTGGGGTGTACTACGGGTTTGTCTTCGAGGTTCGGTTGATTACAGGGTTGTTCAAACCTTCCGTCTCCTCCACAACCTTCTGCTGGTTGTTCTACCTGTTACTGAAATCAGGGTATTGACGCGTCCACCTTGTCCAGGTCTCCTTTCAATTCTGTCCATTTTCGCTTCAACTGCTTTGGGGCTCCGTCGTTAGGCACACATATGTTTATTTTTTATCTCATCCTGATGGGCTACCCTTTTAACATCAGAAAATGTCCTCCTTTATATTTTGTAAGATATTTTGTGTTAAATATCAGACTTTTTTGATATTAACATGGCCAATCCAGCTTTTTCATGATTCCTGTTTGTAGAAAATATTTCTCCCCACTCTTTAGCTCTCAACCTATTTCTGTCTTTGAATCTAGAGTGTCTCTTAAGGATGACAGTGGAAGCTTGATTTTTAAATCAATTCAGAAAAGTTCTGCCTTTTTATTGGTTCCCATCACACTTAATGCTATTATTAATAGAGTAGGATTTGTGTCTGCCACGTTATTCTGTATTTTCTACATATTTTGTGTCTTTTTTGTTCCTCTATTTTCCCTTTGCAGATTTCTTTCACATTAAATGAGCATTTTCTAGGGTAACATTTTAATTATTTAATAGGTTTTTTTTCACTTTTTTAAATGAATGCTCTACACGTACCATATACATCTTCACTGATCAGAATCTACTTCAGACTTAATTACAGTCTGCATTATACTAACTTAATTACAGTGAGATTAGAAATGTCACTCCTATACAGTTCTATTCGTTCTCCTCTCTGTTCGTGCGGTTCCTGCGATGCGTGTTGCAGCGCAGGTGACAAACCCCACAACACTCCTCCGGGAGTGCTCACCGCACGAAGGGCGGGAGCGGGGGGGCAGCAGGCACCACCAGTTAGATCGCCTGCTTCCTCCAAAACCTGTTCCGGGCTCCAGAGCCAGATAACAGCAGCCTTCCATCCCAGGAACCGGAGGAGGCCCCTTACCCCCAGCCATCATGGCCGCGCACGGGCCCTGACTCCTAAGATCTGGCCTGCAGTGCTCTAGACGTCCTTCAGTAGGGCCTTGGCCTTGAGTTACACACTGTTCTTCTCAAGGTTCCTCTTTGACATTGCAGATTGCCTGCCTATCACCCCATTTCCTGGCATGCGGGAACAAGAAAGGCCCTCCCCCATTCCCTGGCCTGATACATACTAATAAGTACTGAGAGAACATTTATATGAATAATTGCATTGAATCCCTAATGAAATAGGTAATCATCCCTTTTTCCCTTTTTATTGAATTTATTAGAGTGACACTGGTTAACAAAATGATACAGGTTTTGGGTGGTAATCATCTCATGAATGAGTCTAATGAGGCTCAGAGAGGTTAAGTAACTGAACCAGGTCACAAAGCCCGTAAGTGACAGAGGTGGAGCTTGAACCCCAGAAGTCTGGCCCCAGAGCCACTTGGCACGATGACTGCTCTGTGCTGCTGCCTGAAGGTGATGGTTCGAGGACCCATTTTCTCCCGGCAGTGGTAAATGTTTTAACATCCCCAAAGGGGAAAATACCTCCTGCTTCTATTGCCAATTTCCATGGTGTAAACACTCTCACTGTTGCTGATTTCAAGCTACAAATATAATGGTACTGAGTGCAAAGTTGGGAAAAGATATACACAGTCAGCTCCCCTGGGCTGGTGCAGGCCACTAAACTGGGCAGGCTGAAGCCCAAGGAAAGGTGAACAGGAGGTGGGCAAGGGCGAACAAAGGGTCTTTAACAAGAGCTTTCCCACTAGGGTGATCTGAAGTGCTGAGTATGATTCCTGTGTTTCAGATGGAGGAGCGGGGGCTCCGAAAGCCTTACACATCGTTTCAACACTCAGTTACTGAGCACACACCCCGGGTGGGCCCTGGATGGGAAGGACCGGTATTTGGGAAGCAAAGGTGACCCAGACCAGGTTCTGGCCTGCGTAACAGAGCTTGTGGGCTGAGAACAAATACAGAGAGAAATATAAACGGTCCCCATGGGGCTTCCATTTGAATGGGTAGCATTTTGGTTAAGAGCGTGGGTTCTGGTCTCAGACTTTCCAGTGTCAAGCCCAGGCTCTATTATTTACTGGCTGTGTGACCTTAGGTTAGTTGCTTAACCTCTCAGTGCCTCAGTCTCCTCATCTGTGATAATAGTGCCTATCTCATAGCACTGTTAGGAGGATGAGACAAATCAGTGCAACTTGAGAGGGCTCAGAACAGTGCCTGGTACGTAGTAAGTGCTCAAGGAATAGTAGCTGTTTTTATTACGTAATTTCAGAAAGGCAACTGTGTGTGCCCAGGAAGAGAGAGAGAGAGGCGGGAACAATATACAGTGTGAATGTGTAGTTGGCAATGTGTGGACAGCAGCCAACTGTGAGCAAGATGCAGGGAGTGGGGCCTGGACCCACAGTGGCAATGCCACACGTCTGAGAGAAAGCCGAACCCAAGCTTACAGTCTGACAATTCGTGCAGCCACTGCGCGCCCACTTTCTTCCTGTTAGCGCACTTACTGCTGCCAGGAACGATGTGCAGAAAGCCGCCCGTACCGCACTTAATGAGCAAGTGAAAAGGTTTTGGGGAGCTTTTAAAAAATTGTTTCTTTTTATAATTCCTCCTCATATTAGAGCCCAATGCCCATGTTAAATGCTCTCCCCACAGTGTCTATATTTCCGAGTGATAAATGTTAGAATAAATGGGTAAGCATTTTGCAAAAGTTGTTCAGCTGGTGGCTGGGTGGGCCAGAGGGAGACCCCAGCCTGGGGACTCCCAGTCCAGCGCTCTTTCTTCTGCAATCTGGGCCCCAGGGGAAAATCCTGATATTCTCCCCAGGACCCCTGACCTCAGCTCTTGGCTCCTTTCTAGAGGGAAGGGCAAGTTCAACCCAGAACTTGAACTCACCCTAGAAGGGTGTCTGGAGTGGGAGGAAAGGAAGATGGGTTTAAATTTCATCTAGCCTTGAGTAACCTCCCTAAGGCTCAATCTTCATAAAATAGAGAGAAATTTTTATATGTGTATAAAACATGTACAGTCTCCGGGAGGCACTCAAGTGTACATTCCCTTCCCACTAACCTAGTTATGCAGGCGGCTTTGGGTGCCATATAGCTTTGCGCCAGCAGGTGGCGCTGCGGCCCCAGAAGCAGGAAAAGGAGGCGGAGAAAGGGGTGTGTGCCTGGAAGGTTGTTGTGCTGGGATCCTTCAAGGGAGGAGAGACAGCAATCAGAGGGAAGGTGGAATCAGGGCATAGGAGTGCCTCCCATGCCTACATATGTAGACACAGAGGCTTGCATAACCAAGGGCCAAGCTCAAACCAGAACAAGCCCTTCCCATACACAAGCTCCTTAAATCCTCATACTGCGCTGTGGATAGTGCCAATCCCATTTTACAGGTGAGAAAACTGAGCCCAAAAAGGCAAAGTGACTGCACCATAGCAGAGCCTGGATTTGATCTATGCCCATAATATCATCAACAGCCAACCCTTATGTAATTCCTGCGTGTGCTAATACTGTCCCCAGGCCTTCTGAACACATTAACTCTTTAAATCCTCAGAACAGTGCTATGAGGTATGAACATTTGTAGGCTCACGTAACAGAAGAGCAAGTGAAGGCACTGCAAGTTCGGGCGACTTGCCCAGGACCACACAGCCAAAGCACGAGAGCTAGGGTTTTAACTCCCAAGTCTCTGCTCTAAACCACAGTCAGCCAGGGCCGCTCCAAACTGTTCGGTGTGAGGTCCCCTGGGTGCTACGAAGTGAACAGAGTCACAGCACACTCCTCACCCGGCCCTGACACCACCCTCTCTGGCCGCCTCAGGAACCACTCCTCTGGGGTGGGGGGGGCTCCCTTCAGAAGTCCCCTACTAAACACTCCCATTTCCCCAAGGGAGCTTCCTCCTTAAAGCCTCTGGCAGCCTCCCTCCCCTG